TTAGGGAAAAAAGTGTGGGGAGGTGGGAGAGCCCCATTCCCCATCCCTGATTCTATGTGTCTGAATGTTATATTTACCTGAGTGGAAGTAATCGTTAGAGTTAGAGTCAGAGTTATTTGTATCAATTTGGAAGTTCTCAACCTATGTTTAGTCCAATGTAGAAAAAAATCCTTATGTTCACCCTGAAGGTCACGTGCAGCTAAACACAGAATAGCATTTTTCTACAATGTTTGACTTCAGCCTATCAGAGAGCTAGGAATTATTCAATCATTTAATAAATATAATCATTTCCAAAAAGCGCATCTAATTTGTTCCCAAAAGCAAGTTAGATTAAAACGTTTTTCGAGTTCTATATAAGCTTTTCTTTTTCAGTTTGTCCCCCGGGAACATTTGGGGAAGATTGTAAAAGCCTTTGTCCTCGTGGTACATATGGAACTCAATGCAAACTTAAGTGTGGTGACAAGTGTTCTGAGTGTCATTCAATCTATGGATGTCAAGGTACATGTATGTCGGGTGGGGATTACTATGATTTGTTGTTATGTACGAATGGAATGTAAAAAAAGACTAATTCATTTTCAGTATGAAATGAAATAGCAAGATAACGAGCAACAATCAAGCTCAAACACTGGAACAATTAAAATTTTGAAGAGAATAGACCTCTCAAAGCATCAGAGGTGGGATGGTGCCATGGAGGAGTATGTATCCCCTATGTCGACCGGACACATCCGTCGTGTGCTCATTGTCATGATCGGGGAAAGGAAAATCCGTAGACATAATGGCCTAACGATTTGTATGAAAAACGTCAGTCAACATTCTACTTAATGATAGATTGAATTTGATAACAGGGCATTGTATCTACTATAGAATTTGAAAAATGTTGATGAGACTGTAGATATCTTTGTATCATCAACCTATTTGTTAGTTGCCTCGTTTTAGAAATTGTTCGTACGTAGAGCATGCTCTTGCTTATCGAATCAACTTGGAGAACATAAACTCCATATGCAGGTGACAATGGTATTTTGCTACATAAATAAGGGAAGCTGAAGATAGAAAAATTTAAGTTAGTATGTTTATAATAAAGTTTTGTTGTCAGTTTGCCATTAACGTATTTTTCTAGTAAAATGTCAGAATATGAAACGGATGTGTCAGACTGTTTCTCTTTTTTCGAGTTCAAAGGGATATATCTGAAACAATCCAAAATCCATCGTTCTTTTTCTCAATGACGTATTAGCTAAAAATCATCAATTTTTATGAAGTTGTAGAAAACCGTACCTATTCACCTGAGGAAAGGTACATATTGTCCTTTCACAAACACGAGTACCCTACATCTTGGCCAGTCAGTGCAATGATAGCGGTTACTGCTCTCTCCACATGCCTATTGATGTGTTTGATCATACAAGCTTCTGTTTGCTGTCGGAAAGGAATGTACGTAAGAATGACGTCATATTTCTGTTCTTATATTTAAATTATTCTCAATCCTTTTCTTAAAATGTTGTACAATTGATTGTCTTTGAGAGTACTTATTTATCCCAGATCCTTAAAAAATATGCTATATAAGATATATTATTATTTCTTTTTATTTTATCCAAATCTTATGTTATATAAGATGCTTGATACTGATATCTAATGTTTATCATATAGTAAAAAGATACGATCTTCTCGTTCAAATGATTCAACGAATATGACAAAGAACAAACAATATTACGGACTTAAGCCAAACACAGGGCAATCACACATGTATGCCGAACAGTACAACGATATAGAGGATTCTAACAATCCAACAACCAAAATAACCACCGGAACAGGTGAACCGAAAATAGCAAACCGGAAGTACGACTACGTTGATGATCATCCTGTAAGAAAACCAGAAAGTTCAACAGAAAGAAAAAAATCTGAAAACGGGAGAAAGTATTATGACATTGATGAAAATATCAGAAGTAAAAATAAATCACCAATCAAGGACCCACAATACAGTCTAGTAAAACCAGCAACTTCTTTGCAATCATTCAGGAATTCCTGCAATCAATACATAGGAGGAAATGGCACAGAAGACTATTTAGATCCTGTTGTGACAGAATCGACTCTTCACCATTTCTGATTTAATTACTACTAAAACAGGAAACAGATGATGTTTTTATGATGAAAGAAACAAAAGTCTAAGTTAGCACATTAATAAGAAACTTACTTTGGTATTGATAATTTTAAATTTTTAATGCAGTACATAATATCAGTGTATCTAAAAAGTAGTTCATAATGATCAGAAGTGTTTGTTCAACAAATTAAACACCCTTCAAGCTCATGTATGTAATACGGGTAAATGTGCTAATCAGGGATGGGGTCAATTACTTTAAAAAGTAATTAATTAAATTACAATTACTTTGAGTTTTTCTTCAATTAAATTACAATTAAATTACAGGCTTGCTAAGACATGTAATTAATTAAATTACAATTACTTTGCAAAAGTAATTAATTAAATTACAAATTACATTAATTTTTCTGAAAATTTTTATAATCCTTTTCAATGAATATACAGAACATCATTTATTTGTATATAAGCCAGCCTCTGCACAAACAGTACAAGAAATAAAATGCTATAGGCATTATATTTCATTGTGGTTAAATTTATAAGATTTATTTACAAAACATTAAAGAATCTCTTAAAGTACTATCCAAGATCAGTTTAATGCAGTTTCCACCAAACAAAACCTACATGTACACAAATTGCATGGCTTTTGATATTTGATTAAAAGTGGGCATTTCAATAGAGTAAAATGAGTGGCAACTGTAACGCCTCAAACTGAATATTTCCTTTGAAGGTAACCTGAACATCCTAAATTGCTATTTATGTTGAACAATTTTACTTCATAAATAATGCTTGTACAGATAGAAAATTCATTCATAAAAATCTGTTTACTAGATGTTAAAATAATTATCAAATTGAAAGTTTTTTCCTCTTCTAAAGCTAGCGAAGCATTTTAAATTGATTAGAAATAATTATCTCTATGGCTTTGTCTTCTAAATCATGGAATGAATATCTCTTTAGAGGAGTTGATTTGTTTTGATTGCAATTTACAGCTGTGATCTGGAGGGCAATTATCTCTTCCCAACAAGTTTAAGAGAGAACTTAATTAATGACACACACCTTCTTTTTCTTTATTATTGATCAAACAACAAAAATTGAAATTTAATGTGTGTTTCATAGCTGAATAAACCTAAGAAGGGTGGTTCAAAATTCAGACTTATAAACATAAATCAAAAAATTCCAAATTTACATAATGATTAGAAAGAAACTAGATTATTATTTATCAAGCCAATCATTTAATTATTTGTTTGTAAACATTAACAGTATAACTTAAGATTTTGCTTAATTGATGGATTGAGGATATGTTTTACAATTAAAAAAAAAACAGTACATGTAAAATGGGGAGGTAGAGGTAACATTATATCATGAATGTGTATTATATAAAGTAATTGAATGTAATTGAAAAAGTAATTGAAATTACATGGTATTTTTTCAGTGTAATTAATTAAATTACAATTACAAGTAATTGAAAAAATGTTCAATTACAAATTACTTCCAATTACTTCAAAAAATGTAATTAATTACAGTCAATTACAATTACTTTTTTCAATTACCCCATCCCTGGTGCTAATTATTTTATCTACGTAAAAGGGTATAAAATTGCTGAAGCATCTGCAAAATTTCATCAGTAAGCCTTGTTGTGAGAGTCAATTAATATGAAATGATAAACAGGCACTTAATTGATCTTTTGTTCAATGGTTCTTCAATAAATTCTACAATGTTATATATATATATATATATATATATATATATATATATATATATATATATATATATATATATATATATATATATATATATATATATATATATATATATATAAAAAGCACTAAAAACCAACAACACTGTATATCCGAAGTGTCGGATCTACTAAGTAGATACAAGGTCACGGATGGAAATTTATATAAAGCACTAAAAATGACCAACGACACGAACAATAATAATTGTCAAATTTTCGGGACAACCTGTCCCTTCCTCAGGACAAAGAAAAAAGTTAAGAAGTCATAAAAACAAAGGAAATAGAGAAGCAAAAACAACTAGCACTACTACTAAACTACCAAACACTAAATATTTACAAGGTTACATGTTTAATTTGGAGTTTATAAACAGTTGTGAACAAAGAAATCCGGAGCGCTATGAATTGCGTCCGGTCTATCGGGTGTACTCGGGTTCACCGAGTACACCCGATAGACCGGACGCAATTCATAGCGCTCCGGATTTCTTTGTTCACAACTGTTTATAAACTCCAAATTAAACATGTAACCTTGTAAATATTTAGTGTTTGGTAGTTTAGTAGTAGTGCTAGTTGTTTTTGCTTCTCTATTTCCTTTGTTTTTATGACTTCTTAACTTTTTTCTTTGTCCTGAGGAAGGGACAGGTTGTCCCGAAAATTTGACAATTATTATTGTTCGTGTCGTTGGTCATTTTTAGTGCTTTATATATATATATATATATATATATATATATATATATATATATATACAAAGAGAGAGAGGATCGGAGTTCCGCTTTGGCTCCATTGGCATATTTTTGTCACTTGTTTCCTTTTTAAAAATATTTGCACGAATATACATGTATATTATTTTACTAGGAAACAAAAATACTAATCTCAACAACATAAAGTAGAAAATAATTAATCTCATTGGCATAAGCATTTCGTCTTAGGATTACATGTACTTCACGGTACCACAATACGATGAAATTTATTTCAACGAGGTAGGTCAATTCTGTACTTTTTAAATGCAGACTTTGATATTTACTATCATAAGTTTTTCACGTTAAATACCATATTAAGAAATGTTTTTATGTACATAACCTATTCTAAACACATATTTGAAAAATAAAACGATCGATGACCGTGAACTAATTGTACATGATTTGGCTAAACTCCAGTTCTGATTTCAATTTTTTTCTATACCATACACAGTAACAAAGAGAATAGCGATGCCAGTCTGTGATGGACAAACGATTGATAAGTTCCTGGTTACGTTGTGTTCGTTATTGAGTGTTTGCATCATCCTCTTACTCTGTATCCTCCTGGCCATTCTCTTTAAACACAGGTATGGTTGTCAATCAGCTTTAATGATAGTAATAGTGAAATATATTTACATGTATAATTGTAACAATTAAGACAATAATCGTTAACTACTAAGTTGTGATTTTTGACAATAGCAAGATATTTAACATCAAACTTTACGGAAAAAGAGATAATTAAGCTGTTCAATATGCAGAATGTCAGATCCACATCTCGCTCATTGCCTGCACTTGAGCAGAGTTAATAAATAGTTCATTGAGAACAGTGAAATGCATAAAGGTTTTATACAACACGAAAGGAAATCCATTCAGCAGCTTTAACACTTTCTGGATGATGTTAAGTTTCTGACACACAGTCTCTGGATGATAGATGTTTGTGCAATATGTCACCAATCCCATATATTGTGCATCATATCATGATGTACATATCTCAAATTATTTCTTATGAAGATTTGTTTTACTTTGAATCCATGTATTTTACTTGTTTGGCATTGTTATAAGAATGGCGAAGTATCGGACTTCTCATGAAACATTAGGCTTAATATTCTGAAACACATATACTGTGACTTAAACCTTAACATTTTATGAATAGAAGAAAACACATCCCTTTAGAAAAAGACAATTGGTATGGAAAATTGTATTTTGTTAAGCCTACGTATTTATATGCCTTTCTTATTTTTCACATTTGAAATCTTTGTAGAAGACACTTGAAAGCGAAGTTGACGATTTCAAAGAAGAAGACCATACCTGTTGTCAACCCAACATACGAAGAACAAGAACTTAACACGATTGTAGGATCCTATGATCAGCTTTCTTTACAAATCTAACAAGACATTCTATCATGCACAATCCTTCGATCTTTTTTCACACTTTCCTTGATTTAAAATTTGTTTTTGGACAATAATAAGTACCTAAAGTGTCTATATCCGATTTCCTTATTCTCATAATGAGTATTGAAATAATAATACTCATGCACCTGTCCCAGAGAGAGATATGAACGTTTGATCCAATCAGAAAGACATCAATCTGACTGTCTCATCATTTAAAATGTAAACTTCATAAAATATCCTGCAGATTTAATGGCCATTTTTAATTGAGCAAGTCTAATACATTCTTGAATGAAGAAGATTAATTTGCTTTTAAAATGATGAACACGCCTGCATCAAGGGAGATAAGTAATAGATTACAATGTGGAGGAAGGGAACTTATAAATCATTTGGTCACTATTGCAGTGTCCTCTCAGGCATATCAGAGAAGCAAAACTTTTGATTTTGACACCTGATGTTGAAAATTTAAAATTCACAAGTTTCTGACTTTGATCAGATGCACGATGGCTATCATCCAACAACAAAGTGAATATGATTTTGAACTCTACAAACCACTTTACCCCAAAAGTTAAAAAAAACAACCACAATAAAATATGGGACGTAAGGGAAATATATCTTGCTGAGATCTAGACGTTTACAAATTTATTTACTCTGTCATTTTCCTCTAATAAGTTTGCAATATTCAACAGTAAAAAGATGAGACGTATAATAATCATTATTTACTGTTTAAAATCTAATTTTCCATGTATAGATTTGTAATAGCAAGTATATCAAATTTGGGCATATTGTTCAAATAGGATTTTTAAACAACAAAAAATTATTGACACTTGTCTTGTTGATTTGACAGAATTATATTGGAGGAGATGCAAACAAAATAAAATATTATCCCCTTTTGATGAGTTAACAAGCAATTCGTTGTTAAATATTAACATTTTTTTCTAATACACGTTTTTATGCTTTTTAATGGGATATATGGCGATAAAGAATAGTATTCAAGCTCAAAAGTCGATTTAAACAATACAAATCAGGAACAGAGCAAACACGGACCTCTAAAGCATCCGAGGTTGGATCAGGTGCCATGGAGGAGTGAGCATACCCTGCTGACCGGTCACACCCACCGTGTGCTCTTTGTCATGATCGGAAAAAAAAAGAAAAAAAAAGAAAGAAAAAAAAAAAGAAAGGGAAAATCCGTAGACAATTCAGTGCTAACAATTAGTATGAAAAACGTCACTCAGCAATTGACTTAAGGAGGGATTCTTGTCTGGTTTCTTACTAGATGAAATATTCAAAGTATATTTGTTTATATGTTTTATATATTTAGATGTAAGAGATTTAAAAGATCATATTTTTCTTTCCTCATCACAATTGTACAACTTTAAATAGAAATGGTAAACTGAGTTTGAAATCTAGCAGGGACTATATTTTTGGCGGAATGGCGGCGTATGAAAATATTTTCTTTTCTGCCTCTCAAAATAATTATGGAAAAATGAATTTAGTTATAATTTTTACACAATCAAGACTTGGAGAAAATTTTAAAATGTAAGTTAAATTAATAATAAGGGACTAAAGTTTTAAAATATATCAAATAAATACGATTTTCCAAACAAACTACAATTATGTTAGCTTTTAAAAGCTTCCATCAAAGTTCAGATTTGATCCAAAAATCCGTAAAAAGTGTTTTTTCTCTCTTAGTAAACGGTCAAAACTTTTTATTTTTATATCATTTTGTATCTTTATATGACAACTTTACCATATGTGAAAATAGGAAAAATTTAAATATAGGAAGCATATAAAAATAGCTAAAATATATTAAAATTTTAAGAAAAATAGAGAAAATTGGGATTAGCCAATATCCATTTTAGTTAAATTATTTATGTCAATTTGATAATATCATCTTATAGACCCTATATGGTTATATCTCTTTATGCAAAAAGAAAAACATTTAATTTATTGAAATAGAAGTAGGCATCGCATGATTGGCAACAGTATTTTTTTATTCTTAATGTCCAGGGAAAAGGTACTGACCTTGACCTGACCTTGCCTTTAATATAAAACGGTCAAATTTAATCTAACTGATACCATCACTTAGTGATATTGTCTTCTTGATTCTGTGAAAATTTCATTGATTTTTAAATATAAGAAATAAGTATTCTTAAGAGAAGAATCCCTCCTTAATGATATAGGTTGTATTTGCTGACTATGTCATTGTATCGACCATAGAACTAAGAAATGATGACTTTAAATGAGACTGTTGATATTCTTGTTTCATACTCTGTCCCAAGAAGTATTTTAATTCAATTTGAAAGAAAACATGTGTGAATGTCGATGGGCTAATTTTTTTTTTTTTAAATTAGGAATTAAAAGAAGATAAAACTGTTATATTTAAATTGAATAATTAATATCGATACTAGTAATTGATACTCCAATTTGAGAATTATCAAATGTGGTATATAAGTTGACAGGTGGTAGATGTTATTCCTTGTGTGTTTGTAATAAGCCCTAATTATTAATAGACAAATATACTCTGTCCCAAGAAATAACTCAAGTTAATTTATAAATAAACATTTGTACAAAACGTGTGATATCGTACAACTGAACCCAGGGCCAAAAATTGCCTGAGTTAAACTGAGTTAAATTTAGCATTAAAAAGCTGAAAATAATTATGCAAGTTCTATAAGTTTTGATGAGACGAGGAAAACTATTGAAACGATCGAAACACGGAAGCATATTTCTAAGTATTAGCTTTTAAAAACAACTTATTATCTTGATAAAGCATTTGACCCTGTTGTAATGGTCATATTCGCAGTCAAACTATGAGGATCGAATTTGGGTTAATCATTCTGGAGAACGTTCTTTTTATAACTTGTACAGGTCTTGAAGACTGCAAAAATAAGTATATATCACAATTGTTTACATTGGATAACCGTTTTTTAATTAAAGTTGAGATTACAATAATAAGTATTTTATTGGCACAGATCACCATCTGAATGTTGTGACGATTATTATCCCGAGGGCACACGATGCAAACGTAAATGTTTTTTGATTGATGCCTTTTTACAGTCAACAGAATTTGTTTCTTTAAATTGTCATCTCAAGATTCTTCTGAATTGAGGACCTATTTTTTTTGTTTTGGAAAGCGTGCATAGGCTCATTTGGTAGAAATTGTTCGGGTGGACTGTGTACACCAGGGTATTACGGTCATGGATGTAAGGAACTATGTGAGTGTGGAACCATTTTATGTGACAGAACAAGAGGTTGTCCTCATGGTAGGGAAGTTTTTTTAGTGTTTAAAATTAATGAACATAAAATCAATTTTGTTTTATAAAAAGTATATCTATAGAAAAAGTATATAACATGTGTATTAAACTTTCGTCCTTTTTATGCTTTGAAGGACATAACTTATTAATGGAGAAAAATCAACCTTATAGGGCCAATAATTCTGTTGTGAATAAGAGAACACTTAGTGACATTTTGAAATTATATATAATGTTTTTCTTTCTAAGAAAACGACTGTCAAGAAATGGCAGTATTAACAACCATTAGACAACAAATGTATATCTAAAACATTGATCTAGGGAAAGCGATTCTCTAAAACAGTTTAGTTTGTACAGTTTTTATATTGCAGATGATAAGAGCGGAACATATCACTACTGGATTTACATTGTTCTAGGCACATTAATCATCAATAGTATACCCATAACCATTGCAATAAATGTTTTCATTTCGACTAGAAAAAGGTTTGAAGATATTTTACAGCATTATTGTAAACGTGTCTCAAATAATAAAAAATAAACCCTGTTTGATATAAATGCATGAAAGAAGATTGACGGTCATTTAAATGTGTATCGTGTTTGCTTACAGTCAAAGGCAACATACAGATATACTTTATTAGACAAGAACAAAAACATTATAAATGCTTTTTGTTTTTTTTTTATTCCCACAGGAACACTGGAGGCAAACAGAAAAATAGTCTAGAAACAGCTGAAAGAAAAGGAAAATTAAACATATGCGCAGATGTCTTACTTAAACGTTTTCGGAGAGCACCCTCAACCGATGACGAGGATGAAGACACAGAGAAACCGCACGAAAGCAGTCTGGAAACACCTAAAAGAAGAGGAAAATTGAATGTTTATGTTGACTCCTTACTAAAACGTGTGCGGAGAGCACCTGCTCATAGTGAAGAGGAGGAAGATTCAAATAAACCAAAGGAGGATTATTTTGCTATGCGGATGTCCATGGCTCCACCAAAAGACAACGTTCATCATTTTACGGGTTGCGATGAAGAAGATGAGGATGACGATGACATAGAGGACTATGTAGAAATGAACGTGCAATCCAGTAATGATAATAAATGATTTTTTCACATTCCTAGGCACCAGACCTGCGGTAATGGCAATGTGTAATGGTAATGCATTGTAATCATTACATTTTTTTTCTTCAAAGAAATGGGATGTAACGTGTAATGGAGCCATCTTTCAATTACAAGTAATTGTAATGTTATTCATTGCTTTCTTTAAAATGTCAGTAATGGCCATTACTTTTCATTTACTTTTCAATTACATTATGTATCCTATTCTCTTTATTATTGAATCTGAAAGAAATCAAAGTCACTGATAGGTTAGTATTTATTAATAATGTTACTTTCTTAAAATTTAAATCTTATCTTACCCCCTTTTTTTGGGAGGGGGGTATTCAATGGTGATTGATAGACATGTTAAATAATTGTTTTAATAGTTATAAAATACACTGAAGAGAGCCAGAAAAAAAAATATTAAAAGAAATAATAGTCTCAAAATAAGTGACATAAGTACATACATACTATGACTACCAATTAAGATTTTCTTTTCAAAAGTTCATTCTGGTAAAATGGATATGGTAAGCCAGATACAAGATCAGTATGATCTTCTTAAAGACAAAACTGGAAACTAAGGCCATATGTAAATACTGACATCTTCATTTTGACACCTTAATTGAAAGTCACTGTTATCTAGGTACTGGTAATTATCACCATTGATTGTGTTTACATTTTCATTGATTATGCCTGTCCAGCTAATCACAAGTACTAATTTATTAAATTATCAATGCAGACTTATTTTACAATTATAGCATTACCATTTAATTAAATATGTCGCATATTACAGAAAACGTTGTGTGAAATGTTTATCAAATGTTCCGATGCACTTTCTTTGTCAACTGTAGAAGATACCAACTACCACTCTGACTTATGGACCTTAGAGAAAGCATATTAACCAAGCGAGAAATTTGAGAAAGTAAATTTAGAAATAAATTGCATGATCATAAAATTTGTAGTTTTTTTTGGTATAAAATGTAATGTGAAATGTATTTAATTACTTTAACAAAGTAATTGTAATTCAATTAATTACTTTTCTGAATGAGAGTACTGATAATGGTAATTGTAATGGTCAAAATCCAAAGTAATTGTAATTTAATGGATAACATTTCAAAGTAATTGACCCTAGGTCAGCTAGGCACTAATCTATAGGTCTTTGTAATTAGTGAAATTGTATTCAGAAAACGCTCGTTTTGTCTTTGCACGGCAATTAATCAATAAGTAGATGTCAATGATTTGAGTATTTAATTATTATTTGAGATAGGAGGATACCTACTTTTAGCTAGTTTGTGAGAATGATACGGAAACCTTGTTTGTAATTGACATTTATGTATTTCCAAAGCATTTCCTTGCAACTCTTTCATTAAAATATCAAATGCAATGTGAAGATAACGAACAGTGATAATTTTAAAAAGTTCATTTAAAAATAAAAATTATTGGCGAAGGCAACAAAGACCGAGGTGTGATCGCCTGTCGACAGGTCCCACCAGTCGTGTACACATTTTCATGATCGGGTAAATGGGAAAAAAATCCGTAGACAATTTAGTGTGATTCTGCTTAACAAATTGTATGAAATACGTAAGTCATCATTCGACTTAACGGCGAATTACATTTTGCAAACAAAGTCATTGTATCGCCAATAAAAATTGCAAGCATTGACTTTAAAGGAGATTGTTGAAATGATGAAGTAAGCATAAAGATTAGTTGTCAGATTGCCATCGATGTCTTTTTCTTGCAAACCATCAGAACCAGGTATGTCAGACTCTGTGTTGTCTTTTATTTTGAGTTAAATTAAATATATGGAATGAAACTTAATATCATTAATTGAGGAAAATATTGTCGATATATATTTGATAAATCGATAAATAAATAGCAAGAGAGTTCTTTATAAGATACACTGTTAATATATATTTAACGTATTAGCAGTTTTTAATTTATATAGAGAGAGAGATTATGGCGAAAAAGTATACCTAAAGTTAGTTAAATCCCCCGTCTTTCAACGCTCAGATAGCGTAATGAGATGAGTACCTGACTACGAAGGTGAGGGTACCGGGTTCGATTCTCAACAGTAGTACATGTATTTTCTTTAAGTGAAAATAAACTTATTAAAATGTTCTTTCCTCTGTAGAGGCACGGAAAGGAGAATATGAACATAGAGTCCGTTTTCAATGAAATTTGCGACTCTCCATTCATGAAATATGATGGAGCGCTCAAACAAAAGAGTGACGTCACAGGTGGATTTTTATATAGCAAGGTTAGTTAGTTTCCCTCCCAATAAGACAGTCAAGAATGTTACCCTGCAATAGATTACCCTAAGACAGCCATTTACAATGCAGCTATTTCTGCCTTTGGAAAGAAAATAATGTGGTCAAGTAAACAACTGAAACGCAGAAAAATCCTAGAGGCTTGACGGTGTACACTTTAGTTCGATGTTCTTATTTAACGCCTAATGTATTGAGCTGCAGAGGCTTGTCAAGTATCGGTCACGCATTCTCTCAATGTAGCTTCAAGTCTTGCTGATTGCAGTGATTGCAGTGCCAGTGTTGCTTGGTAAGAATGAGCTTTGTAGGCCCGTTTGGCCTCAGTGAGAAGATCACCAACTACAAGAAAGCTGCAGAGAGCAGAACAAACCACTTTACCTTGTGTTCATCGATTTGACAAATGCGTTCGACCTGGTAAACAAAGAAGGCCTTTTAAAGATGATAAATCTTATTGGTTACCCACCTAAACCACTGAACTTTGTAAAGTCATTTTACGACGGTATGATGAGCACAGTACAGTTTGACGGTGACATCTCAAACAGTTGATTGATTGTATAGTGTTTTACGTCTCATTCGAATTTTTCACTTATATAGAGACGTCACCATATATTGGTGAAGAGCTTCAAATTTAGACCTTTACACGGCACTAAGGGTAATTGAGCAGTGAGGGATCTTTATCGTGTAAACGCCTGTCGTGACGTCTGGTCTCAGTTTTTAAGGTCTCATTTAAAATACCCGCAACTTATACTTCAAAGTGCTGGGTGCTTGGCTAAGAAAAGGTTGCTACATCTCAGACAAATATGAAGTTAATAATGGAGTCAAACAAGGCCGTTCACCAGCCCCTACGCTTTTCGGCATCTTCTTCGTCTTCTGCTGAAACATGCTTTCGGGACATAAATTAATGGTGTCTACCTTTACACAAAATCAGATGGCCGCCTCTTTCACATCGCTCAGTTGCGCTGCAAGCCCAAGATGAGAAAAGTCACTATCAGAGACATGCTGTTTGCAGATGACGTGATTATTGCCTTTTATGCTCAGGAGGGACCACAGCTTCTCCAAACATGACATACGGTTTGTAATATGGATACAAACAACTGGGAAGTATTTGCCGCCGACAAAACAGCCTGAAAACTCATTACAAAAGAACTTACGGAGGATGAAAACAGATATAAAGATCCAGCATCAGAAGAAAAATTTCAAGAAAAGCCAGACAACACCTTCAAGAAGAACCTGCAAGTGCACCAGTCTTTACTTGCTAATCTGTTGTAGTTGATAGTGCAGATCTAGGATCGGCTACTACAGCGACAGAATATGGTGCTCCTCAACAACCTCTACAGAGGCAAGTCCTTAGTCTCTAGACTGAAAGATACCATAAGTTGCTTACCAGTATGATTGCTCGTTAATATTAAAACACTTGATATTTCAATGTTCTCTCTACATATTGTTCTTCTGGGTATAAAAGAAATTTTCTTTTGCTTTTTATTCAATTGTTGGTTCAAAAATTTTGTAAAAAGAACACCATATATACGTGGCGCATGATGATTCACGCTTTCAATATTAAGGAGATAATTTATCATATCGTTGAAGAGGAAAAAGTTGTCATGAAGGAAATGGTTAAAGTATATTCTGAAAATCATCAAGCATTGGATACACTCTTATCAACATATATATATATATATATATATATATATATATATATATATATATATATATATATATATATATATATATATATATATATATATATATATATATATATATATATATATATATATAAAATTAAAATATAGAACAAGCTCTGCTTAAAACAAAAACTTCGATGAAGTTGCAATGAGACCAGCATGAATGACACAGGGCTGTGCACTACCAAGTAAGTAATCAACAAAATAATTTAACTCATACTTGCTCATCGTATTTGCTTGAAATTAATGAAATATGAGCGCAAAAATTTATCATGGGAAAGATATGAAACTTTAATATCCAGTTATGTATCGTCCATCTGTAGTATTTTAAAATGCATGTATTGTCCGTAGGATTTTTTTAAAAACAAAAATATTCATTCATGTAGCTAATACATACACTTAGATTTTTTTCATTCAACCGAATCTGACAAACAGTAATTTTATTACTTGTTATCTTATACATGTACGTTCGAATACTTTAGGTCCCAATCTATGAATGTAAAGAAAAAAGATTCTATGGTCTTTAAGATTATTTCCTTAATAGAATAAGGTGTAGTTGCATACAAAGCACAATGTATTAAAAGCCACATAAAACATATATCTGTTGTTTAGAAATACTAGTGAATGCTGTGCAAATTACAAAGCAGTCAACGGCAAGTGTATCCGTGAGTAGATGTTGATCATTTTATTCTTTTACTGATCTAAAGGTAAATTATCATTTTGCATGGGATAACAAGCTAGTACATGGACACATACAAAACGATTGCAACGATAGCACAAAAAATCAAAACAAAATGTATCGTTTATGTTTGTTGTGATTCGTTTTGCTAAGAAGTGATTACTTTATACTTGGATTTAGCACATGTTTTGGCAAAATACATTTATATATTTACCATATTGTTTTTAGATTCATATTTGAGAATGTGACCTTCTGTAAATTTATTTCCTCCAGATTGCATCGGTTCCTTTGGAAAAAACTGCACTCATCCGTGTCCATATGAATATTATGGCTTCGGCTGTTCGAAAAAATGCAGATGTACGTGGAACGAGTTCTGTGATCCAAGGCAAGGATGTCAAACTGCATATTATTCACTGAGTAAGTGCCTGATATACATTTTACCATTCAGCCAATCTGAGTTCTGAGCTCAACAGAGCTTTATTTTATTTCCGTCGTCCGTCCATCTGTCCGTCTGCCGATTCTCTGTAAACTTTTGACATTTTTGACTTCTTCCGAACCACTGGTTTTTTTTTCTCCATCAAACTTGCAAGTCGCCCGCGTGGCGCAGTGGTTAGAGCGTCTGCTCTAGAGTCGCGAAGTAAGGAGTTGATCCTTACGTCGCGGGTTCGAATCCCACTGTGGGACGTGGAGACCGGTCCTTCGGATGAGACCGTATAAACCGAGGTCCCGTGTCGCAGTAGGTGCTGGCACGAAAAAGATCCCTCACTGCTCAATGGCCGTAAGTGCCGAGTATAGGACAAAATTTGCAGCTCTCCACCGGAAAGTGGTGGCGTCTCCATATGAGTGAAAAATTCTCGAGAGGGACGTTAAACAACATACAATCAATCAATCAATCAAACTTGCAACAGAGCATTCGTTGGTAAATCAAATCAAACATTAACAGCCATGCCCCTTTCAAAGGGAAATAATTAAGAAAATACAAAAATAAGATGAGGTTGTTAAAAATTATTCTTAAACACCACTGGGTCAGAAACTATTAAGCAAATTATAGTCTTTGGTAGAAGGGTCAGCTTAAATAGGGGATCAAAGTTTTCTATGACAGGGCCATATCATTAGTTATAAGATTTCAAGTACCTTCAGGTAGTGCAGTGTCAATTTTGTTCCATTCATGAGCGCAGAAGAAAAGGTAGAACCCGAACTGAGGATAGCAGACTTAGATATGTATATATAGGGAAAACATTTTTTGGCAATAACATCAAGGCATGATATGTCATATTAATTTGTAGGCATTTTCAGGTGGTACAAATTCTTTAATCGGCAAATATAGAAAGTTTCTTTTAAAATCCTCTCAAAACATAGGGCCATAATAAGTTGACAAGTTGCAAGCATTTTTAGATTCAGCTTTGTTCAATGCATGGTTCCGAGGGTCGGCTGGGGCCACTTCAGGAGTTTAAAGTTTTACACAGGAAAATATTGGGGGGGGGGGGGGTCTTATAGAATTTTCTCAGGAACAATGGAATCGATATAAGTTACATTAACAGATCAAAAACGGAAAATGATATCAAATAACGAAGTATTGGTATGATAGGCTAGGAATTCGTGTATATGTGTTAAGTTATCGTGTCTAAAAATATTCTCAGAAGGAGGGGTGGGGATGAATACACCAACCATTCATCAGGTGCCTGTGGTTAAATAATGGGTCAAATTCTACCTTATGCATCCTTAAAAGAAAAATAAAAACTTTAGAACAGCAAGACTATGTTGGTCAAATTGATCTTAAAGCATCCTTATATTAGTTCACTAAATGTTAATTTCATGTAAATAAAGATGAAAAAAAAACTTTCAATAAAGCATGTTTTTTTTAAAACTTAAATTATATTCTGAAGATCAACAGAGCAAAGGTAACTCAGGTAAGTATTGTAACCAATTTGCCTTTTGCTTACAAATAAAGTCCATATCCTTCTTCTTTTTTCAGTCATAAATGTGTATTTAACCAATGTTCAACTATGCAATAATACTCATGTCTTAAATATAAGGATCAATGCTGATATTTTTAGACAGTAACTATTATTGAATTGACAAGACATATAAAGATATTTGTACCTATTTTTGTAAAATACTTGTAATTTTGGCAAACTAAATGAATGAATTATTATTCCTTTTAATTTTCATTAAATCGTTTAGTTCCAGTAACCGTGGGTATTGTTTTAACTGTGGTGCTGCTCATTACCATTTACAGGTATATTTGTATGCGATATGAATTATATAATTTTTTTCATTTTAGTATGGCATTAAATGGATGTCGAATCAGTATGTTCATAAATTATTTTAGATGCTATAAAAAGCGATGTCGTATTACAAGGCAGAGCAAAGGTAAAGATTAAATTGTAATCACTTATATATTAATAGTTATTTAGTTGACAATCTGTACTGACACACTGAAAAAACGCAACAGCCTATTTCAGATATTTAAAAACAGATGTAGGGTATAATTTTGTGCTGATAAGGTATAAGGATATCTTCAACTTTGCGCAGACGGTAAGTCATTGTCATCATTTTCATCATTTTCATCCTGTTACCGGACCAAAGTCTGAGCCAAACTTAAGGGAAATCATAAATTGTTTTAAAAACCATTGACTTTAATTTAGGTTTGCAAGATTTGTTGTTCCTCATAAGTATTGCATTAATATAACGAAAAAAAAATCTTTCTTTTCCTCAAGTGATGCCAAGGCTATTTGAAATTAATGTAAGAAAGCATTTTGTTAGCTTCAATAGCTGGAAATTAAATTCTCAAAATGAAAACGAAATAGAGTTGCAGATACAAAGACAGTACTATATTACGCCTCATCATGTTCATACGTCCCATTAGCTTGAATGACAGCCCGCGTGGACTTGAAATCCACTCGTTATTACGCTGCCTCAGGTTCAAGGAAATTCAACTTCAGCATCTGCGAAACAGGCACTTTAGAAATTCGCAGAATCCGAGCTTAAATTGTTTTGCAAGACGGGATTGCACACTATGATTGAAAAGGGGTTGTTGTTTGATTATCCGTTTCTTTCTAAGTTAGAGGATATTATTCAACCTTTTAAAAAAATCACCGTTAGATATTTTAATTGAATTCTTGTTGCATTTCTTTTTTGTGTCAGACGATATAGACTTATGATAGCTTATTTAATTTGAAACTTAGTTAATTTCTTAGTCAATGTCTTCATCTTACCCTATATGTATCTCTCATGTTAAAGCCAAACCCTCAACCTAACCCAAAGCATATACAATTATAATTACAGTAATTGAAACGGTCACTTTGAGATATTTGAAAATTGGAAATATGTGACTTTGCTTAAAACATATGTTTCCATTTTGCAGACTTTACATCCAAAACACAATCGAAGGAACTTTATCATTCCTTAAAGATCTTTGAGAGGAAATATGAGAAACCAAACAACAACTCGAAGAACGAGTACTCTCGTGCTAATTTCTCACAATCAGGAGAGGCATATGATACGACACATGGCAATAAAGATGGAGGAATACTAGGTGGCAATGTGTACTCTGTGTCAAACACTTACATAGGCGTATCTGAAAATCTTTATGACAGCACATCTAAAGAGATGTAAATCACCATCATATAGATACATCATAAAATCATGCTTGACGCGTATATCTGAAAATCTTTATGAATATACATCTAAACAGATATAAGTTCGCCATAGATAGACATTAAGATATACTGACAAGCTAGATAAATAATCACCATATGTATATAAATAATAATTAATAATAATATAAATAATAATCATATATAATATTAAGATATCACTTTTTTCTCTTTTTCTCCTTTTGAATTGTTATGTATATAAAAATTAGTTCTGCAAATTACTCTGCTCAAACAATAGTATTGTATTTTAAAATTATTAAATTACTTTTCCCACAATTCGTAATTCATGATTTTTTTTATATCTGGCATTTTCTTTCTCTGTTTTCTTTCTTTCTGGATGGTGGATGGAGTTTCTTCTTTTTTTTATCTACATGTTTACAGCAATTTATTTATAACCTTATCTGACTTTATGTACCTCTGTAAACAAATCCTATGTCCCTGTTTGAAATAAACAGATATTTTCGTGCATTGAGGAAGTTAGATCTTCAATGTATGCAATCAGGAAGCACTATCCAAAAATGACCCATTCTGGGAAATATTTACAGACGCGCTCTTAAAATAAACATGGGAAAAAATTGATTAAGTATTTGAAAAAATTACTAATCATTATCATTATAATCATATACAATGATAATAAATTCTTCGAAAAGAAATCTTAGATTTGTGTGCATTATTTCTTTAAGCTATCGAATTAGCTATTTTGTATTATTGAATTCCTGGAAATGGATATATAGTATTTGTTGAGCAAATTCGTACTTTGAAATGCAAAAAGAAATATAAGAAATGGAACAAATGGAATCGCCGAAATACTTTATATCAATCTTTGAAAGTTTTATAAATTAGACAAATTTTAAATATTTCTTTACTTAGTGTTTACATTATCATTACTTTAAGATATAAAAATGGAATCTTATTGTAAAAAAAATCATAAAATAAATTGTGCAGTCCCAGGAGATATAGAAGAAAAAATGGTGCTGGAGCTGAACTTTGTCAGAGGGAAGACTGAGTGTATCTATGTTGTACTTTTTTCGGATGGAAAAATGAGCGTATCTAGGCTGTTTTTTTGTCGGAGGGAAGACTCGATGTGTCTATGCTGTACTTTGTCGGAGAGAAGACTGAGCTTTTCTATGGTGTACTTTGTTGGATGGAAGAATGAGTGTATCTTTGCTGTACTTTGTCGGAGAGAAGAATGCGTGTATTTATGTTGTACTTTAACGGAGGGAAGAATGAGTGTATCTATGCTGTACTTTGTCGGAGGGAAGAATGAGTGTATCTATATTGTACTTTGTCGGAGGGAAGAATGAGTGTATCTATGCTGTACTCTGTCGGAGGGAAGAATGAGTGTATCTATATTTTATTTCAGCTAAAATGTTTTCATTTCCATTTTTTCCGTTTTAACTTATTTAAACCAAAAGAAACTTCATT